ATTCAGAAACTTGTAATTGTTACCCAGGTATTACATGGAACTTGTTATATATATACTTGAACTTTTTGTTGGCGGAATGAAGTATTCATGTACTGTTGTATGCTGGACAGAATAGGGGGAGAAGTGATGGCGCTGGAACCAGTGGGACGAAAGCAAAAAACATTCCTAAGGAGCTTGCCTCCACAATAAACGATGGTCTTTACTACTTTGAGCAGGTTTGATTTTTTTTGACAGAAAGGATATGATTTAATCTTTCTGGAGTCTAATTTCTAAACACATAACTCGATGAAACAGGAACTCAAAAAGAATCGATCTGGTCGTAGGAAGAACAACTCCCATTTGGATAACAGGGATGGAAAAGTAAAAGCTGGGGGAGGAGTAAACACTAAAGTAGGTGAAACTTCCACTGCAAATGGTGGAGGTGAAGAGCATGGCATCACTATATCACGGAGGAAGCAAAATAAGGCAACCCACAAACATCATATGTCCCAGGCAATGAGGTTCTTCTCGAGCAACATAAGAAACCATGGGGCTAATCTCAGTTCTTATGGAAGTACTTCAGAAAGTCCGCCTAGTAGCTCTATTGGATTTTTCTTTGGTTCTACCCCACCAGACAGTCGTGGGTCGGTATCCTAGCAATTCCAGATATACCCAACTTATTCTTACTTTTGACCTTGTTCATTAATTTAATAGTCTTGTTTGTGACGTTTCACAGCCCCAGGCTTTCCAAATTGAGTTCATCGCCACAGTGTACTCTTTCTGGCAGCAGTCCACCTGTGGGCTCTTTGCCAAAATCATTTCCACCTTTTCAACATCCAAGCCACCAACTGCTGGAGGAGAATGGGTTTAAACAACAAAAGTGAGTATAGTTATTCGGTTATTCAACTTGGGTTAATTGTATGGAGCATTGCGCATTACTTTTGAGAGGATAGTTATCTACCCATTATGCATGACGTATAGTTATCCTGAAGTCTTCTATTCTCATCTCTCTTGATTCTACCCATAGGTACTTGAAGTATCGCAAGCGCTGCATAAACGAAAGAAAGAAGCTGGGCAGCGGAAACAGTGAGGTCAGTTTCATGTCAACCTCCTTTCAGTGATTTTTTCGCTCTCAGTTGCACATCAAATGAAACACGCAAAAACTGTTACATCTAGGAATTACTCTTATTGTTAGACCGATTAGAGATCCTAAGCCGTATTTTCTGGAAATGTGTCTGAATTCTGGCTGTTCTATTTGCAGGAAATGAATCATTTGTTCCGATTTTGGTCGTATTTCCTGAGAGACACGTTTGTTCCGTCTATATATGATGAGTTCCAGAAGCTTGCTCTTGAGGATGCAGCTGACAATTACAATTATGGGTTGGAGTGTCTCTTTAGGTTTTATAGGTAATACCTGCTTCGCAGATGTGCATCTGTTTTACATCTATTTCACTGCGGATAAGCTCTCTAGTTCAGTCTCACCAATATCGCTCTGACCTATGTCTTCAGTTATGGTCTGGAGAAGCAATTCGATGAGGACCTTTACAAGGACTTTGAGAAGCTAACGCTCGACTTCTATCACAAGGGAAATCTGTATGGCTTGGAGAAATATTGGTAAGGTTTCTTTTGTTATATGATTATTGATTAAATATTATAGTTGCTACTGATTTCCTGTTATGGAATGTGATTCCTGGTGATGTCTGTAGAGATTATTTAGTCTTTTAGTAATAAGAAAGTAAATGGTTAATTGTGCTGTAAAGACGAAATCTTCTCTTGTGCACAGGGCATTCCACCATTATCGAAGCCAGAAGGAAGAGATAAAGAAGCACCCGGAGCTAGAGAAGCTACTCAAGGAAGAATACCGTAGCATAGCCGATTTCCGAGCAAAGGATTCGATCACGAACCAGAAAGAAAACAAGTCTCACTAATGACTTGAAGAGACGACAAAGCAGAAGAGACAACTGAGCAAATGATCCTTTAAATGTTGACTGAAATTTTTGTGTGTGTTATGTCTACTTGTGGGGAAGAGGCCAAGACCAAGACCAACCAAGTGAAGCCACCAGTCTGAATATTTTGGAAGGATAATAAATCCTTTGGTGGTGTGTTTTATTTTCTGGGATCATTTTGTTTGTTTGTGATTTTGATGCAGGAGAGAAGTACTCTGCGCAGACAAACAGAGAGCTTTGACTGAAAAGGCGTTCATAATCCCCCCCCAAAAGTTGTAATC